GATAACGATATTACGATAAGCATTACTAAGCAAATTATTGGCAAATGTATTAATAAGCAAAAATTTTATTCGGTATTATTCACTCTCCCATAAATCCCTAATAATCCTCTATAGTCACATCAATAATCACACCAGGTAATCAATTCCAATAGGTTACATTAATCATAAAAAAAAATCTTCGTTCAAAGAAATAATATCCGCATCACTCGTTATTAAAACATGGAAAAAAATTTATTTTTTTTTTTAAAAAAAAATAAATTAAAAGGAAATGTAATTCAAAAAAAAAAAAAATGTATAAATAAAAGTTATAATAACTATAATAACAGAGAAAATTATAAATCCTTTATTTTTCGTAGGTAAACTAAGGAAATTTTGATCATCGAACAATTTTTTTTTTATTTATTTTTTTTTAGTTTCACTTATCTATGTATATAAATACATACATTCTTGTTTGGCTTCTTACCCAAGTTTGTAAAATCAAAAAGAAAAAAGAAAAAATCATAAATAAATGTATATTTAACTATTATAGCGGTCAACTCGTATTTCGAAAGTTTTCGCACCAAAGATTATCCATTATCTGACATCGTTAAAATTTTTCTAATTTTAAGCTAAGCTTACGGGCCGTAATCTTTAAAGATACCTCGCTGTAAATTTTTTATTCGTATGTTCGCTGTTTAGTTCACAATCCGTTCCTTACCGAAGTTCCTTTCGGAATATTTCGGTTCCCTTTTTCTCAAGTATTGTACAATAAAGTGAATGATGGTTTGAAATGTTTTTAATCCAAATCATTCCGCTGTTTAGGACTATTTCTTTTAGTATAAAGGAAAAATGCTTCATTAGTTTCACATTCACGTTGATTGTAAAATATATATATATATTATTTTTATGAACCATATGAAAAACGAAAAAAAAAATATATATGTATATAAATAAAATGATTAATTAGGAAATGAGTTCGATCGTACTTCCCTTTTTCCTGCTAGTCGAAATTTCCAATCATAAAAAAAATTGTTGAATTGTTGAATTCAAATTTAGATTAATTGATGATTTGATCAATCTACCCCCCCTAAACGAAGCTACGCGGTGCCCAGTTATATCTGACCAAGTTTCAGCATTTTCCAATTCTGAATGGTTATATGATGAATGCTTCCTATTACAAACAAATACTACACGAAGTATTTAAATGAAATTATTAAGGAAAGTATTTAAAAATTGAGGGATTGAAAATAAAAAAATAAAAACCAATAATATCAACAATGGCGTTCAAAGGTGATGTAGCTTCCTCAAAGAAAAGCGTGCGAAAAGAGACCAACTACTCGAAGGAAACTTTCACGTGTAAGGCAACACTTCTAAGGTCAAATTATAGGGAGCGTCCGTATCCAAATCTAAGCCGTCGATCCTTAGCTTAGTACAAAGGATAACACCAGAAAAATGCTTCTCCTTTGAAGCTAAAACTTTTTACTAATCACATAATTAATCAAAAGCAGTTAAAGGGATGTGGGACACGATCGGACAGTCAGAAATTAAGCCATACGATAGCCCTTTAGCATCCGCCTAGACATCGTTAAGGAGAAATAAAAAATAATTCCCATAAATATTTGCCAAACTACAAATATCTGTCAATGAAGAGTCTTTAAATATAATGATGGTCCCCACACCTCCTATATTATGGACGTAAAAAGTTGAACATTAAGAATCCACAATTTGTCGTTAAAAATGCAGAGGCAAAGTAGAAATAAGCATGTTAGAGATAAATATAATTAGATCGAGCTCTAGGAACGATCCATGCTGTTGCATCTGCCATTCGACCAATATTTATAAGGTCACGTGATGTAGTATTACGTGGGAGGTTAGTAAGTTTGATTGAGTGCTGCCTATATTAGAATGATATAAAAAAAAGAAAAAAAAAATGTAAGATTCAAAAATCTAAATATTCATCGAACGAGTAAGGAATTCGTGCTTAGGGCAGTTGGGAGTCAGATCTTAAGAGTGAATGTATTAAGGAACGACCTCGTAAAGACAATTTCTTATCAATACGCTATAGCACTGGGATAATACTTGTCTATAGAAATGAACA